GACTTTCAGCGTCCGCTGGCATTTGCTGTTGCTTCTTGCTACCTATCGCTGCCGTCATCCATGTTTCGAAGGCTAGCAGTGTCGGCCCAAGGGGTCGACAGTAGCAGCATCATTACTACCACCTATGTATTGCTGCTATTCTTATCATGATTACTGGGTACAAATGGCGGTTGTTAGTTGATTTGCGGGGAGCCTTGTGAGCTCTCAAAATGAAACAAATTATGAGCCCTTATTCGGCAGATTGGTGCCTTGCGCGAAAGCAACCTACAGCCGTCACTACACAGCACTGCTATTCGTTCTGCCCTGGCCCGTCTAGAACTTCTAGAAACCCCTTAATGTGTATGTGTATACCAAACATATATATATATATGTATGTATATATACACGCCATATAAACTGTAGGTAATTGGGGTTACTTCTCGGACTGAAACCTGACTTATCACAGGGCACCTCTCAGTATCAGGGCCCCTTATGAAGGTCCACACGCGCATCGGAGCCTGTCAATCACTAACCTTGGACGCCAAGCTCAAAACTGGGTTGCTGTTAATGAACTTAACGTTGCCATGGTAGCTTGAATCAAGCTCCCTAGCAGCAACCCGGAAAACCACTCAAACACCTGGATTCCAGTCTGTCGTCCTTGGTTGCTCCTGGTTTGCGCTCTCTGTTTCCTCGGCCTCAGCATTTCTACTTGCCATAGGAATTGGCCAGTCGAGCCGGGGAGGGTCAGGGTCCCAATTAAGGATTATAGTCCCCCTTAAGTAGATAAAATATGACTTGGGGTATATCAAAATAAGATCCCCATATACCCCATATTCTATCTACTTTAGGGGGGGTAGAGATGGATGATGTTCTGAAAAACCGAATTTCTATACGAATTCCCTACGACGTGATTTCTTCGATGCTTCTATCGCATGCGTCCTTGTACAATGAGTCGGGCCTTTTAAACCCTCCATACTACCGCATGTAGGAAATCCACTTTCGGAACTACTGTTATAAACGCTGAAGCAAATAGGAACATATTGACATTGCCCGATGTAGTAATCAGACCGTCTGATTGCACAGTGCAGTCCTGCATAGGCCTGCCAAACAAGGGGCCATGATTTTATCATTTTGAGACCCTAAAAGCCCTAAACCCTTTTTTGCTTTTGGACTGCTCAAGATACCTCTCCCCAAAACTGCCATAAGTTAGGTTCCCTTCTGGGTTAGGGTCTGCCATTGAGGCCCTTTACAGGGACCTCTAGAACAACCCTGAACCCCAAACCCATTTTGCTTCGGGACTTGGAATCCTGAACCCTAAAAGCCTCAACACTCTTTGAATCTGGAGTGGATGACTGCCAGGCAGAAACTCGCCCACCCCCCTAAACCCTAAACCCAGGGCTTTATGTTTCCATGCTGCAGTCGAAAGGCGATCGTTACGGCTGACTTCTCCTTCCACTTCAACCCCTGCTTGCCAGAGTCCTTTGACCTGCCGAATTTAGGTTTCAGGTCTAGGGCTACTACAATCACTACGCTGGATGCCAACAATCCTGGACCTTTTGTACCTTTCACCTTGGAAATCATGGTATTAGAGTATATTCAGGTTGTGCAGGATTATTAGTATCAAAAATAGTATTCCTAATACTACTGATATCACGATTGTCAGCATTGCTAATATTATGATTACTGCTACTACAGCTACTAAAAGGACTGTAGCAATTCATGCGCAGTATTGGTTAAGCTCCCATGCACTAATAGTGAGCACATTGCGGTTCCTATGAATATTCCATGTGAACCCCAATTCCCCTTCCATTCACAAAATCCTAGGTAGGCATGCTATGAATTATCAATTTCACAGGAAGCATGAATTATACAGTAGGGTACGCCTGGCGTTGTGCACTCCAACATACCGGCGTGTATAGCCCGGATGTTGCCAAACAAAAGCTTCAGAGAAAAACACATAAGTTCCTCGAACATGCGTGCTGCCACAGCGATCCAGTCTCTGACTCTAAGGAACATTAAGGAACTGTATGATGTTGACTGGTTACAACTTGGACTTTTCCCAACCTACCTGGCAAAAGTGTTCAACGGCCTTGAGTAGGCAGAGCGGCGGCGATCCAACAAAACTGTCTGATGGTTGAGTCTCAGGTAAGTACATTAGACGCAGACTAGTGTGGTAGGACTGTAAAAGGACCTGGATGGGGCTTGCTCAATATTCCTCTTCCTCGAAATGGGTCTTTGGCACATGCTTTCACGCACTTTCACGCACACCAAATCACCTGAGATTTGCTACGTACTTATGTTTTATCACCTACAACACATACCCACGTTCGACTCACGAGAGCAAGAAGCTTGTTTGGCGGCCCCGCATGGAGAGGAGTATGTTGGAACACAGCTAAACCTTTAGCCAACGCTTTTCACGTAGCTGTTGTACTCATTTCGCCCGCGCTTTTGTTTTGATGTTCAATAGATAAGGGATTGCGGTGTTTACACATGTCTACCTGTAGAGCGGTTTTTGTTGAACAATTCCCACACATGGAACTGGGATCGGTAATCTCATCAGTTTGGAGTTCAGAACAGGTTTCTTCAAGCGACCCTATACAATCCTATAATACCCCTCACTCACAGAGCGCCAATCAAGGTCCGCAGCACACGTGAGACGCAAACGCAGGGGGAACGGATGTTATTACTGCGTAACGTATTTACGTGGGCTGTTGGCTTGCGGCCATTGCGAACTGTCTTCTGGAGGATTGTCGGTGACTGCATTGTGGCATTCAGAAGGGTTCTCTTCGGTTTGCTGCTGCCTCGTATGCTTTAGGAATAGCTTCATTATCGAGAATCGAGCATCTGCGGAACGGCTTCATCAAGGGCATACACGGCATCTTTCAAAGTTTGATACCCAGTCTGCCCATGGTGTTCCGACTCGTCGGCGGTGAAAAAACTTGTGGTGCGTTGCTGCCGGTTTCGGATATGACTTGTCTTCGCGGATCATATGCTTGCCTTGAAGATGTGGTCCATGAGTCTTAATGTTGCTTCCTTCCATGTCACTGAAATCCTTTGCATGTGTATCTCATATTCATCCATTTTGTCCCAGACTTTTTGGTTAGCTTGTGTTCTGTCTATGTGTGTTGGTGATGTGTTGATACCCCTATAGCCCCCTATATAACCCCTATGTAGCCCATCATAGTAGTTACCAATTTTCTTTTCTGTTTTCCCAATGTTAACCCATATTATACCCCTATAGCCGTGCTGGACACGCCACAGGCCTGGCTTTTCCTTTCTGGACCTCAGTGGTCAGTATCGAGGAGAAACAGTGATTGTATCCAGGTTCCCCCCAAATGAATCGGCACCAGCTGTCCCAAGAGGGGATGGCAATGGTTAAGTGCCAATCCCGTCAGATTGACCTTCTTAGCCAACTGTATTAACCCAACCTCCTCAATTATCTGCGCCATCAAACCTGTAAGTACAGAACAGGTGAGGCCTTGTTAGGATGCCAAAGCTGAAGCTGTGCCCTGCATGAACACCTAATCGAACCACCCATCGAATAGGAAACCTATGTTCTGCTATCTCCTGATGCTCCCTTGTGAAGGAGTTCCCCCTCAATGCTGATTACACTTGCGGATAAGGTGCGCCCTTGGCAGGGGTTTCATTGGCACTGTAGCTGGCGGGTGCTGAGTAGTCTTCGGTCTCCTGGGCTGTGTTTCCATTGGCTCAGTACAAGCTGACTTCACTCAAGCTCTATAGACTCTATAGTCGCCCCTTAGTAGATAGAATATGCGGTTTCAGACAGTTCCATGGTCTATCTAGTTCAGGGGGGGCTATATCCCCAAACCCTCAACACTAAACCCTACGCTATCTCCTTAACAAGGTATGCCCCTTTTTCTGACTGGCAAGAAACCTTGTCTACAAACATGAGGGGGCGATCGCAGTTGTTGAGACCAACACCTGGACTAAGAGGCCTCTAATGGGAACCCGAACAGGGAACCACAAGAATACACACATGGATATATGTGTCTGTATAAATATATACATATATACACACATACTTATACATATATATATATGTATATGGAGAGAGAGAGAGAGAGAGAGAGAGTAGGAACATGTGGACCCTTGCCGGTATATTCCTGTTTTTTCCTTCGGGCTCCCTGACTGGGGTCCCCACTAGAGTCCTTTTATTGAAGCCCCGAACCCAATATGGACTCTGATGTATCATGATTCCTGCTATGGGAACCCCAAGCAGGTACGCCTTGTTTGAAGCCCTAATTCCCAGGATTTTCTAAATAACCACTGCTTCCATTTCATTATCCTTTTTTTTGCATTTGATTCTCGGCTCGCCACCCCCCTTGCATGGTATCCCAACGGTCACGTGAATGGGACTCCTCGGGGTCGCCATCCTGGTAACTCTCGTTGTATTTGATGCCTCAAAGCCGCCATCCTCGTAACTGTCGTCACTTGTAGCCCCTCGTGCGCTCGTCGCGTCTCAAAGTACGAACAGTCACAAGGATCGGGGCGGTCCTCATCGCGGTCCTCTCAACTGCCATCGCTTTAGAATCCTCATATTGTTCGCAATTAAAGAGTAGGCACAAGGATCGGCTCGGTCCTCATCTAATATGAACTCTCTATTTGAAACCATGACTCTCTGAAAACCTTCTTGAATTCTTCTATGAACAGTTCTAAGCCAGAGACTGTTAAAAACCGCCCATAAACCATCCATAAACCTCATGTAATCCACAAGACCCAGGCCACAGGCCACGGGACCACAGGGGGGTGCGGGGTAACAGGTTATCCGCCCTCTTCCCCCTCTATAGACTTCATTTAAATAATCTATCCCTAACTTAGACGAGCCTCCATACAAGGAGGTGATGTTCCTAACCCCCGGGGCGAGAGGGCAACTTCAAAACCAGCAGCCGTAGCGTAGGATGGGGCCGAGGTTGGGTACGGGCCCGTCGCGCCCGAATCATAAGACCTTATAGACCCCTACATATTCCTGCAATATCCTGCAATATGGTAAGCTTCTGCCGTTAGACCTCAACGGCCCTGCCTCTCTCCGTGGATCGGCCACGATGCGCTTGCCTTTTGGAGCCTGCGTGCGGCTTCCAAGCTGTGGGCTTAGGGTTTAGGGTAGTCTGGGAGGTACTATGACGGCCCTGCAGTAAGTAATTTGAAGAGATTCCACTGTAAAGCCAGAAAGGAATTGATGGAAATTGGGATTTATCCCGAAGTGCCACCTAGTCTTGGTTTTGCAGAGGAATTGCAGTGGAACTGTGATAGTAGTCAAAGCTGTGTCGACCTTCTAATAGTTGCAGATGCAGACGTGGCTAAATCTGCAATGAGAAGGGCGAAGAAGAGCCATAATTTCCTGAATACCTCAGATGTACAAATATGACGAGGACACCACTCACGTGCTTCCGGGCGGCTGCACTTCCGCCCTTGCCGATACCCGATCCGATTGCATTCGCGTACTCATGATTGTCATGCCTCGGTCAGGGGCATACCCTCTTCTAAACTTTCTTGGAATCCCGCATGCCGAAAACCGCTTGAAGGCAATGGTGGCCTTTGTAGGGCCCCTTCTGAGTTCCATGTCAGTTCGGGAAAAAGACAGTTGAGTGTGCCCCTTCATGATCCCGAGATGGCTATTCACGCCTCTTCATACAGCCTCTCTAGCCACCGAGAAACCTAAACGATCGCCTAGCATGGCCATGTGAATGACATGACGTTGGCAGGCCTTGTTGCTGGTGCATATGCCTCAGCTGCGCGATGGACTAGCACAGATGCATGCCAGCTTGCGCAGCACTACACTTTTAATTGCCAGAACAACAACGACAACAGACAGCAATGACAAGGGAATTGACAACAAGAGAGACCCCAGTCATACTACATAGGATCCGAAGCGGAGAAAAAGTCGCAACCGTCTTTCTGATATGGTAGCACTGGGCCAAAGATCAATACGTATACATCGGTCCGTTAGCCCTCACAGTGACTGTCCTTTGATGGGTTCTAGTGTGGGTTTTCTGACTAAATTATATCTCCCGCTTCCTGCTTAAGAGGACATCCCCTAACTTATACATGCAACCAGCACTACAGTACGTTCTGATTAAATGATGACTCCTGTGTCCCGTTTAAGGGAACCCCACACTTATACATATAACCAATACGACTCGGAGGGTAAGGGGGACTTAGTAGGTAGGTTACATAACCCCTATAATGCACATGTAACCCTAATCATCCCCATTATTATTCTACTTACTGCGTCCCCCCAAACACTAAACCCTAAATAATATGTAGTAGCCTCGATTTTCTTTTCCATTGACTATTATTGATTGCCCCCGACCCTTCAGATAGCCAGCACGTAATAACAACGAGGGCATGGGCTTCCTGCAGACTATGCGCAGGCCCAGTGCAGGCAAAGTGCTGTGGTCACAACCCTGCTAACCTTTCCGGAATTCCATGCGTAGGAACTTGCGTAGGGACTTGCGTAGGAACTTGTGTAGGAACTCCCGGAATTCCATGCATATGAGCGGTCCGTATTCCATGGGTGTGAGCTTCCAGAACTCCATGCGTGGGAGCTCGCAGCAGCGTCCCTGCCATGCGCACAGGTCTCATGAACCGCACCGCAGTACCCGAAATTCTCCGACTCATGCTACTGCTTTTACTCATGTTCTGTCTACTGCCACTACTACTGCCTGTGCTGAGGATAGCCATGATGACGACAGAAGAAACCACTTCTTGCACATCACTCATGCGTACTACTTACTTCTGTGCGCCACGCAATTTAACCGCAATGGCCAAGCATACTGCTCAACATTGTTGCTTTGTAGCAAACCCTCAACCACTAAACCTCCAACAGCCTTAAATCCCCTCCCCCAAACCCAACACGTAATCTGAAACAAGCCCCTTTAAATCGATAGTGGTGTATACAGTTTCCCCTTTCAGGTTCCATTTTAGCTTGGGGGAGGGTAGACCCTAAAAAAGCCTGAAAGTCCTTGGCTCTGTTTGGTGCAGGTTTTGCACTGCTTTCCTGCAGGGATGACATTTGGAGTTTGGGGCATCGACAAATACAGATGCACAATTCCAGAGATGTATCCCCAAATTGAGGAACTGCCAAGTGAGAACGGCAGCGCTAGCGAAAATATTGAAGTCGCTGTCTTTTCATGTTGGCCTTCATATGTAACAAGACAAGTGTGTCGTCACTATGGTTGCTGCCGCAGCAGCAGCAGCAAATGAAACAACACAAGTAACAACAATCAGCGTGGGACTTAAGGCGCGTCAACCTGTGACTCACTAAGCCTCTCCCAATTTGCAAGATACCTCACCACGGAATCATTGGCTGTCGAAGCATCTGATTGCCAAGCATGCGAAGGCCTTTCGGTATGAAGCCTAAACATGACCTAGAAGAATGGCATGCGGACCAATACTGATCCAAACCCTTCATACCCGCAACTGCAAATGGCAAACTTCTCACTCAAAAGATCTCAAAAGCCTCAAACCCTTGAAGCCTTCATCCTAAAACCCAAAACCCTTGAGCCGTAACCATCCATCTATATAGATGGCCACAAAACCATCTCTCCTGAGCAGTCGTGCTTCCGGCCCTTGGCCTCCTTTTTCGTGGTCTCCGCGGCCTTCTCTTGCGCAAGGGCCAGAGTATAGGGTTTAGAGTGTGTTATGTGGAAGTTTTCCAAAGGTAAGAGCCCGCTTGTGAACTTGCAAATACTATTATGGGAAACTTTACTATAGGACCCCCCCAAAAACTCTATAGGAACACCCCAAAAAACTTTTCAAAACCCGCATATGGGAGTTGCTCAGAAAGGGATGTCCTGGGAGGTATGAGGAGTTCTGGGGTTACTGTAGTGGCCTAAATAACTACCAGTTTGATTTCGAGTTCTAGGAATCTAGGATCAAAATATTGATAAACAGTTCATGAGGCCCATACACTCTGGGTTTACGAGAATTGTTGGGTTCCTTCTTGATTTTTTTAGGGATGAGTTCAAGGCACCGCAGGGGTGCACGAAGGTGATTTGGTTGCCCCTTTCAGGACCTCGAAAAGCAAAGCTTGCATAAGCTTCTTGTCACAATCCCCACCACTCCCAACTAGGTCCGATAAAGCTCCCCCTGCCTTGAGAACCCCCAATGCATCTTGAAACAAAATGACATTGTTCTGAGCAGAAGGCGCGTTGTAAGAGTACTATCCACGGAGTCTACGTACAGGTCCCTGTTCCCAGCGGCTTATGCCCCTCTTCATGACTGTGGCCTTCCCCATAGCCCTTCTTGCCCTTCTGGCCCTTCTGGCCGCCATAGCCATAATCTCTTTCGCCGCCATCCTCGCCCGCACGCCTCGTACAAGAGCCACAATTCCCGTTAGAATCACAAACTCCCCACCCCTAATCATAGAGATTGCCCCTAATGTCTGATGGCTCTATAGTGTGGGTGTTTGTTACAAAAGTCCCGATGCACTTTGGAAATTTCATGAAGTAGGTGTGGGTTCAGGGCTTCCTGTTTACCATTGCGGGCCAAGTACTGCGAATGTGGCTTCAGCACCAACCCAGACCCCCCTAAAGGATCCAAAAAATGGAGCCCCCCCCCATATATAAACCCATTACTACATTGGGGAAACTAGGGGATTATTAGGGGGTTCCATTTTTGGGATCCTAAACCCTAAACCCTAAACCTCATATACCCCTATATAACCCCTATATAACCCATTATTGGGGGGTTCCATTTTTCGCATCGTTTAGGAGGTCTGGGAAGCCATTGGAAGCGGCCTGGGACTCAAGTCTCCCGCGGAAACCTCATGAGTATAGTCCCCCTTCAGTAGATAGGAATATTGGGGTAATTTGGGGATAGTGGAAAAGGAAATGGAAACTACTTCATTATATAAGGTTTGGGGTTTAGGGTGTAGAGTCACCCTCAAGTAGATAGATTATGGCTGTGTATATTATAATAAGAACCCCATATTCTATCTACTTAAGGGGAGTATAACTGCTAAACATACAAGCCCTGACGCGGCGCGAGAGGGAGCTTTGGACTACCCAGCCAGAACCGCAGATTACAGCTTAGCGCGCAGCAACGCAAATTGCATCTTGCTTGATATGTGGTAGTTTCCCAAAACGGGCGGACCCCAATATAGACCCAAGTACTAGCAGCCTGAGTATGGGGACCCCCAAAATGGTCCCCCGAGTTTTGGGAAACCCCCATGTGCGGTGCTTGGTATGGTATCTCTAGAGTTCTACCGTGACATGAGCCCTTGTCTAAACTCCTAATAGTCGCCCTTAGAGTTGTCGCTAAACCCTATGTAAGCCCCTTCCAAGGGGTTTGGACTATGGCTATGGCTCACAAGCTTCAAACCTTTTTAGAGCCGGCTTCCGGTTAAGGATGCATCCATTGGAGGCCCTAGCGACGAAATTTTGCCTAGGCATGATGGTAGTTCCCAACATTAGGGTCCCATTTTACCACCCCCCAGATATTAGGTGCCGTAATATAGATCTATAACCAAGGGGTGGCCGAGAACAGACCATGAGGTGCTTCCGTCATTCCGCATTTTCGTGGCAAGTCGATCTAGTTTGCCCTACGGGCAATTATTCTGCATCCTCCCCTGGCCGAAGCCCTAAACCCTCAACCATGCAGGCCACCTTTTAGAAGCACTGTAGTCTTTGTAGGGCATCCTTTAAGCTTCCATGTTTGTTGCAGAGAGGGTAGGTTGGAGGGCTGTATGAGTTTAGACTATATATAGGACATGTAGTGATGAAGGTTGCAGGACAGGACACTTCAATTGGACGGATTGGGCCTCGATCCGCAAATTCGTTTAGCTTCCCCCGCTTTTGACCTGTAAATGCTCTAAATCTCTTAAATTACGAAGGCTTAGTAAGGAACAAGGGAAAATCATCCCCATATAATCTTCACATATTCCCTACTAAGTCCCAGCAAGTTAATCTGAAATCCCTACTAAGTCCCAGCAAGTTAATCTGAAATCCCTTCTTCCCACTCTGAGACGCCCTAACTTTGCCCCGCATCGCCTCCAGCGCGGAACCACCACACCTGTCGGTCCTTACTGTCTAATACTTGGGTTTAGGGTTTAGGGTTTAGGCCCTTAGGCCTTTTAGGGGGATTGTAGGGACTCTTGCGGGTGCATATAGGGTATGTAGTAGGTAAATAAAGCTCCCAGGGTTAAGGGCCAATACCAGCGGCCATGGTTTCAACCCTAGATACTGAGATAATTCATGGGGCTTAGAGCCACATGCATAATGTTACTGCACTTGTCATTGTTGTTAGGGGCAGGTGTTGCTATTTGGGTGTAACCAGAATCAAACATGCTAGAGTTTGCCCTTTGCATTGATGCAAGTACTCAAAAAACCTAAACTCAAAACCCTAAATTCCAAAAAAAATCGCAGGGACCTGTGGAAGACTGCTCCTCTGCTTGTTCTTCCTGAACTTCGTCGCCATTGAGCTTCTTTTGAAGATTGAGCACTGCCTGCAGCATCGAAACTCGTCAGGCATATTGCGATACACTAGTGCTATCTCGAGTGCTAACTGGTAGTTTCCCAAAATAGGGGGACCCCAATATAGACCCCAAAATACTATAACCCTTAATATGGGGACCCCCAAAATGGTACCCCTAATTTTAAACCCCCAACTATAGGTTAAGAGACGTCAGCACCTTATCCGGTTGGTAATTGGGGCTTTCCCCACGCATACACCCTCAAACCGTAGACCCTAAACCCTACATCCAAACCCCCAAAATTGCAGCTTCCAGGTCCCGATTGGAAGAATTGATCGCATGGTAGCCTCTATCATTCCCAACAATACTGTTTTTCCCAATGCCCTCAGTCCCCACCAACCACCCTAAACCCTAATTACATAATAGATTCAATCTTCTTTTCCATTCCCCCGTTAATCTTGTGCGATTTCGTAAAATCCCGAAGCCTCACTCCGTGGGCCAGCCTAGGTTTCAGGGCTCTGTGTTTCTGGCTAGACAGATTACAAGAAACTGGCAAAGTTGAGCCTTTCCTCTTTCCCTACCTGCCCCTAAACCCTACCCCAAACCCTAAACCCTAAAGCCCCTAAACCCTAAACCCTAAACCCTAAACCCAGCCTCACGCGCAGCCTCTGTGGCTCGCCTTGCTGCCCTGATGCCAGATGCCGTCTCCTTCGAAGTCGAGGGTTTAGGGTTTGGTGTTAAATGGGGGTTATATTGGGGTTACAGAGGGAGACTGGAAAAGCAGATGGAAACTACTTTTTAGGGTTTACGGTTTACGGGTCTAGGGCTTCAGGCGGAAGATTGTCAAAACCCCTTTTGGATCCCCATATAGTACGGCCCCCAATATGCAGGGTGCGTAAGAAAAGTGTTTTGGACAACCGTCCAGGTGAGGCTTTGAAGGTTTGCAATGTGATTGTGCTATGGTGTTCTACGAGGAGTTTCCTTGGTTTCTGTCTTGACCCCCTTTCCACCCAGGCAATTTCAGGAACTAGGTCAAAAGTCGGGCAAACAATCGCAAATCCTCCGGCACGCTGTGCTTAGCCTGGAGCCCAAACCCAAACTTCATGCCTGCAGGCAGCGAATACCTGATAAGGTGGCAATCCTCAACTCTTATGGGAAAGATGCCAGGAAACTACAGCGGTTCGCATGGTCAGCAGGATGAGATGGTACCGCTTGCAACAATGGACCATTGTCTCCAACAGGGTCCAACAAAACATGCCTCGTATCACAGAACCTATCTGAACATGAAGTACAAGACGCCCATCTAGCGGCAATTCATGACAAGTCGGATGTGGAAACTCGGTGTAATCAGAGTCCATGAGGCATGTCCAACATTTTGTCCTTGGTCCCATAACCGGCATGGTCAACTTGCTCGTGGAACGTGTACCTTGACATCGCACCCGCTAAACCCTGAACCCTGAACCCTATGACCCTAAACACTAAATCCTATAGCCCTTAAAACCTAAACCACGTCTGTGTGAGAAACCAGAGAAAAGCATTAGGAAATGCAGCCCAAATCTTCGAGATGCTCAACCCTAGATCCAAGAGAAGGGAGGTGGATGATTCCAAACATAAGCGTCCCCTTGTAGGGTGTACTGAAGGTTTAGGAACCCCCAGAACGGTTGAAGACAACCCCCAGAGAGGAACCCCCGATAGAGTGAAAGCAACCATGTGGCAGCTTCCAAAAGGAGAGCGGTGAAAGATTGCCTCTTTAGGGTTTACGGTTTAGGGTTTAGTTAGTCCTATGGCAAACCTTTAACTATGGTATAGGCATTTAGGTTCGTGCAATGAAAATCATAACAATATTAATGATAAGAAGACCCTACCAAAATGTTTGAATGCTCGTGTTTCAATTCTTCCTACTGTTGATACCTGCATGAGCTTAACAAACTACACTACCATACTTCCCCAAGGCATAAGATACCTAGGGTTGTGCTGGAATGTTAATATCCACCGTAGTCGAACCCTAAACACAGGCCGTGAAAATTTTCCGGTCAAAAACCATTCTCTGTCGATCTTGAAAGAGATCGTAGATTAGGGGGGAGATCAGGAGGAAAGGGTTAGCGTAAAGGTTGTTTACAAGGTTTTTTTTGTTAAGCTAGATCCTGTAAACCCTAAGCCCTAAACCCCCAAAACCCCCAAACCCTAAAGCCCAATTCCATACCGTCTTCAAGCAACCCCCAGGTGTGGAGCCAAGCGACAGCAAAGCTTGTGGAGTTGCCTCTGGGAGCTGAATATTCTAAGGGTTTACTTTAGACATGGGGGTTTCCACCAATTTGTGGGCTCATAATGGGTATACAGGGTCTAGGGTTTAGGGCCAGGGCTTAGGGTTTATAGGGTCTAGGGGGATGTGGGTTAGGTGGGCCCCCACCCTGTAATAGTGGCTATCAGGGATAATAGGGATTATATTAGGGTCCTCTTATATTCCAATTATGCCACTATTACAGGGTAGGGGGTCCTCCTAAGGTTTACTACCATTACTGAAGGTTTGGGGGGGTCATTTAGAGCTTGTAGCTTTGAAACTTTGAGATTACGGAAGTTTGAGTACCCTACGTCATGGTAAGTTTATATGGGCTTGAGGGTTTAGGGTTTAGGGTGGGATTTCCCAAAATTAGGGGCTTAAAGGGTTACATAAGGGTGCTATAGAGGTGCATAAAGGCGTTTCCGGAAATGAGGGGTACCCTCAAAAGGGTTATAGGCCTGCTATAGAGGGATATAGGGCTTAGGGTTTCTCAAAATTTGGGTTTCAAAGGGTTGTATACGGGTGCTACAGAGGGATATAGGGTTCAGAATTTCAGGGTTTCCCAAAATTAGGGATATCCTCGAAGGTTTAGGAATTGTGGTTTAGGGCTCAAGTTTTCCTGCAATTTGGGTTACCATGTTTGGGGTCCCAGAATATGGGTTATAGTAATTGGGGACCTATATCAGGGTCCCACTATTTTGGGAAACTACCATATACGGATATAAAGCTACAAACAGAGGCAGGTAGGGACATACAGGGGCACAAAGCGTGGCAATAGGGTACCTTTGGATGACTGCAGGAGGGTGGATCACCTCGCCTTTGGGCAAGGTTTCGGGTTAGCCCCGAAACCCTTAAGCCCTAAACCCTAAACTTTAGCCTACAGTTCAAGGTTATCCTAGGTGGGCCTCCCAGACCAGGCGTGACCTTAGCAATAACGAAGCATAACAAGGAGATGATAGGCATCGCTTTGCAGGATTGTACTACGATACCCACCCCAACTAACATGCCAACATGTAGCACCAACTGGGAGCCTACATGCACTGCATATCCGTGTATGCCCCTGTATGTTGCGATATACCCCTATGTATCCCTCTATCTTGCAAAGCCCTCATGATTGCAAGGATGTTTGACTTAGCTAAACCCGTACCCTGTAATCTCATGAAACTATAAGCAAACACCCAGAGAGCCCAATATGGATTAATTAAGGAGTATACCTGAAATTGTACTAGGACCCTTAATATTATTCAGGGCATATTCCTTTATTAAGCTATATTGGGCTCCCTGGGAAGGGCTACCTTGCTTGTTTCACGTTACCATCAACTGGAATTTCAATCATTACTCTACCTATGTTCATACCAAATGCGGCATTGCATTGCTGCTTAAAGCTTCACTTTCATCTCCATCTCGTTGAGATGATGAAAGACTTCGTGAAAACAATTGTCTAAAGAGACTGTTGATTTCTTGTGTTCTTCTGGATCTGCATACTCTACGGCAACCTGAGGGCTTCAAGCCACTTTTCACCAGGAGATGTCGTGTCGCCTCCGCCTTTCTACGTAACAATACGGTCCCTGTAGTTACTTCTTGCTAAATACAATCTCCCAAGAACTAAAGCTCTCTTTCGATTCTGGTTTATAAGCTTTCCTGCCCCTCTCCGCACCCCGACAAAATCTGTATTATTGGTGAGGTTCATGTACAGGGGGACGTGATTGCATATACTATTTCATTTTTTCTCCATTATCCCTATACAACCCCTATATACTATATAGTAGCTTCCATTTTCTTTTCCATTATCCCTACATAAGCCTAATATACTATCTTAGTTCTTGGCACCTCGGCAGATGTCGCCCAACTTGGACCATGAGCACGTCCCCATGTGCGGTCGCCACGCGCCTCTGTCTTCGCAGACTCAAAGCCCTTGGTCTGCCTGATGGCCTGCATTATCCCTGTCATCGTTACATGCCTAAGACATATAGAGCCCCATGTGCTATCATCATTCCAGAACCCTTATCAGCGGGATCCCCGAAAAGGCATATCATGCCCCCGAATCTGGGGAAACCCGCACATGACTGCAGCTTGGCCGGATTTGGGGCCAGGGCGATGCTTTCGATACGCACAGTCTTCTCACTCCATGTTCTGCCCGGCAGAAGCGCTGCTCTCATAGCAGTCACCAATGCATCTGGTGCCACAACATGGTTGCTTTCCAGTCCTTAACAAATCTGTGCTCGGCATCCTTGCAAGCAACTTTTAGGGCCAGCACGAGACACACTCTAAGTGACGCGCGCATCCAGCAGCCTGTCCTTGCAAATTGCCATTGTTTGCAGAGAAGGTATAATCCGCCCGGGTCAGCAAAATAACGAGGTAGTCCCTAGGGACTACCTACAAAGACAGTAGGCAATCTTACACACTAAACAGGGCCACATAAAGTAACAGGATCATGCCAACAAACGTGACAAGAGGCACGGGCCGGGTAAACTGGTAAAGAACATGAGAGCCCGAGATGGTTTTTCACGACGGGGGCCCTGTCAAGATTCTAGACAAACAGGGGGAAATATTGGGTATATTGGGGTATTTAGGGAACTGCAGTCCCTCTTAATATTGGTTGCCCAGTTGCCAGCGATGCTTCCTCTGAAACGGATAGCGGTCCGCGCAAACACAGACCGCCAAAATCACTTTTGCCGCGCCCAATTCCGTCAACCTATGAGCAGGATTCAGGTTAAATTAGGGTTTAGGGTTTAGGGTGTTGGGCTAGATATACGGGCCTGGCTTTCACTCGATTTCACGGTTCAAGTACCCATACCCCCCCCAAAAAAAAGTGGATTTGTACGGGGATGATGCGGGTACTTGCTGGATCTTGTTGGGATTCTAGAGGTCTCGTAGAGATCCTAGGCTAGGCCCATGTGCCCCGAGTCAGATTTTACATCTACTTGAAAACTGTCCATAAACCTCCCAGCGGGGAATAGTATAACCCTAAACCCTAAACCCTAAACCATATACAAGGATTTAGGGGGTCCAGTGCCATGGTTAGCAGGGGTTCCAATGGGGTGTGAGAAGACGCTCAACAGATCTGATTTCTATCGCGGACATATCCTTAAGTTCCCGGAAGACACTTTCAGGCCAAGCAGTAAAGTACTCCAACCGCTCAACGCAAACGACCCACACTCTCCGCAACTGATACATGGGCTACAGCTAGGACTTCTTGTTTAACTCGACAAGCTTCAATAGAGAAGCACCATAGAGGGCTTCTACTACTAATGCCTATGAGAGGGAGCGCATGCCCACCTCGGCGCCCCTTTATAGCCAGTAAAAGTTCTCATGGGACCCCAAAGAGGGAACCTGAAGAATGTAGTGGGAATATGGTATCAATATAGGGGCCCTGATAGGTATATTCCTATCGTAGTCCTACTATATTCTTGGGGTTCCCGGTTTGGGGTCCCCATTAAACTCAATTTACCAATGACAGCAGGCCCAGCAATCTATATGAAAACCCTTCACAGGCCCACACAGCCAGTCACAGCTTCTGAATAACTACTTGAATTGGGCCCGCCACCCCGTAACAGTGGCATAATAGGAATGGAACCAGTCATCATCACCATTCTCACTGTCCCTTATAGTCACTATTACAGTGTGGGGGGGGGGGGGTCTTCCTAAGGTA